ATTTTTTTCATGTTTTAAATCATTTCAAATATCAGTATTCAACGTTTTATGTTTAATATATCAAAACATTATTTATGCATTTGTAATTGCAGGTTAAATGCATTCATGTCTTGCATTAAACAAAATACGTGTAAATACATCTAAATGCCACTTCAGATGCAGCTTCTGTGTTTATTTAATTTGCTTGGTAACAGCCCAAATGTCTTATTATTCTAATTCCCTGATTAAATGTAAGAATTTGACTCAAAAGATAAAGGACACTTTTAGAAAAAATGGCTTTATAAAGGTAAAAATGCCCATAAAATGCAAAAATCAGTTTAAACTTATTGGAAAAGATTCATTTCTATCAGTATGAACTGACCACCACACAGAATATGAAGAATATTAAAACCTTTAGGAGTCAGCTGTCTTCGGCAGTCCTTAAGGTACCAGCACAATAACACACTCAGCAAAATATCATCTAATTATCGTTATCGATAAAATCCCAGAAAATATCAAGATATAATTTTGTCAATATCGCACACCCCTAGAAACAACAAAGTGCAGATGTGTGTACAAATGTAAGTAAGTTAATCATGTAAACGGCTTCAGTGATTATAATGGGAGTTTTTGAGATTGCTTGAACTTTGGCTAGACTTAAGTCAATGATAACGAGCTTTGATTATGTAAATGTTCTTTGCTCTCTTTCTATGCAATGTGTTATAATTAGTAACTTTACAATGTTTTTTTTAATCAAAGTAACCTTAAATACAATGTCAGTCATATTAAAAATAGTTTATGATATTACGACACCCATATCAGATACTTAAGAAAAAGACAGGATTTATGCATAGTTAATAGATTACATTAATATTAGGCTACTTTGCCCATCAACTGTTATAGATCAACTAACAACATCTATAAAGTTGCAAAATGCATTTACTTACACATATTTGAGAATCAAGATATTTCATGATAGGCCTATAATTAAAGAAATAGTTCACCCAAAAATCATCATGTAAAAGACGCATACGCTTGCTTCCACTTCATGTAAACAACGCACGCACATGGTGCTGCTGCTAACATCGAACACACACATGCGTCGGTTTACATGAAGCAGAAGTAAGCCCATGCGTCATGATACTGTCTCCACAATAGCGGCGCACATACGGGATGAGGAGGAGAAGAATTGCTGAATAAAGTCGTTATTGTTGTTTTCTTTGCGCTGCGATGTCACATGGACTGTTTTACCAATGTCCTTGCTATGTTTCAAAGCCTTGATCATGTTAGGATCCTTGCTGTCTATGGGCGGGTCAAAGACCTCTCTGATTTCATAAAAAATATTTTAATTTGTGTTCCGAAGATGAACGAAGGTCTTACGGGTTTGGAATGACACGAGGGCAAGTAATTAATGACAGAATTTTCATTTTTGGGTCTATCCCTTTAACACATTTGGGAATATTTCGAATAAAAAAGGAAATTTAAATAAATAATCCCACTGCTGTGTGTCACATGACAAGCATGATGACCCCCCCCCCTCTCTCAAAAATAATAAGTGCATGACGCCTCTGCAAACATCAGCACGAGCTGGAGACTGTTCCTCACCTGCGTTGGTCGTGGCGTCAGCACCGCCGGGCAGCATGCAGTTGACGTTCGGCAGGACACGCGGCTGAAAGTGAGCGTTTGCGTGTCCCATCACGTGGTTTCCGAGAGGAACTTGTCCGCTTTGGTTCATGGGCCCGCAGTTTCTCAACGCCGTGGCCTGCATCTGGTTGATCCCGGCCGGATACTGCGCCGCAGACTCCACTCCAGGGCCATGCAGCCGCTCCTCGCACAAGCTACGGCCCCGGGGCCCGTGCGAGCTGTGGTTGCTCAGAGACTGCAGCAGCTGAGCCATCGACGTGTTGGAGGGCAGCCGGGTGGTTTTTCTCATCTGCTCGGTCGAGGGGCAGGGCGTCCTCATGAAGAAAGCGCTGTCGTGGTTAGCGTTGGTAGGAAGCTTGCGCTTGCGGAGAGGGTCGCGCTGCTGCGCCATCAGCTTGTCCCGAAGCGCGGCGCGTCCGCTCTGGCCCTCGCCGCCGGCCACGATCATGCCGGGGTTGGGTGGCAGCATGGAATTTAGAGCATTGTGGCCTTCGACGGCCCTGCCGGCATCAGACGGCCCCGCGCTCGTCCCGCCGCTCCCCAGCTTGTTTTGATTTGCTAGCTGTGCTTTGGCGGCCGCTGAGAGGAGGCTGCTGGCGGGGAAAGAGGCAGCGTTGTGTTGGTTAAGGATCTGGTTCAGTGGCATTCCCAAGAGGCCCGGGTGCTCCTTCTGGGGGGCGGCACCCGGGGCCGGCAGATACATGGGGTTGTGCTGAGCACTCATTCCGGCCAGCAGCTGGCTGGGCATGTCTTTGTACTGGTGGAGAGTGTCCGGTTTGCCAGACGGGCTGGAGGGCAGAGCGGGCCGGGGCGAGCTCATGGAGGACCTGGGCGAGCGCGGCGGGACCTTCATGCTTCCGCAGGGGGGGACAGTGAAGCTGCCCTGCTCAGAGGAGGTGGAGGAGGAGCGGGAGCGCTGCGGAGACGCCTCCATGCGGCCCAAGACCGGCCCGGACATGTGCACGGGAGAGGTGACGGGCGACGGGGAGACAGAGGCGGTGTGCTGAGTCCTCTGCATGTGACCCACCGGCCCCGGCTTCACCGAGGGCAGAGGCAGATTACTCGGCAGCGGGACGATGGTGGGGGGGATGTTTACATTCATCATTGGTACCAACGTTTTATGTTTAATATATCAAAACATTATTTATTTATGCATTTGTAATTGCAGGTTAAATGCATTCATGTCTTGCATTAAACAAAATACGTGTAAATACATCTAAATGCCACTTCAGATGCAGCTTCTGTGTTTATTTAATTTGCTTGGTAACAGCCCAAATGTCTTATTATTCTAATTCCCTGATTAAATGTAAGAATTTGACTCAAAAGATAAAGGACACTTTTAGAAAAAATGGCTTTATAAAGGTAAAAATGCCCATAAAATGCAAAAATCAGTTTAAACTTATTGGAAAAGATTCATTTCTATCAGTATGAACTGACCACCACACAGAATATGAAGAATATTAAAACCTTTAGGAGTCAGCTGTCTTCGGCAGTCCTTAAGGTACCAGCACAATAACACACTCAGCAAAATATCATCTAATTATCGTTATCGATAAAATCCCAGAAAATATCAAGATATAATTTTGTCAATATCGCACACCCCTAGAAACAACAAAGTGCAGATGTGTGTACAAATGTAAGTAAGTTAATCATGTAAACGGCTTCAGTGATTATAATGGGAGTTTTTGAGATTGCTTGAACTTTGGCTAGACTTAAGTCAATGATAACGAGCTTTGATTATGTAAATGTTCTTTGCTCTCTTTCTATGCAATGTGTTATAATTAGTAACTTTACAATGTTTTTTTTAATCAAAGTAACCTTAAATACAATGTCAGTCATATTAAAAATAGTTTATGATATTACGACACCCATATCAGATACTTAAGAAAAAGACAGGATTTATGCATAGTTAATAGATTACATTAATATTAGGCTACTTTGCCCATCAACTGTTATAGATCAACTAACAACATCTATAAAGTTGCAAAATGCATTTACTTACACATATTTGAGAATCAAGATATTTCATGATAGGCCTATAATTAAAGAAATAGTTCACCCAAAAATCATCATGTAAAAGACGCATACGCTTGCTTCCACTTCATGTAAACAACGCACGCACATGGTGCTGCTGCTAACATCGAACACACACATGCGTCGGTTTACATGAAGCAGAAGTAAGCCCATGCGTCATGATACTGTCTCCACAATAGCGGCGCACATACGGGATGAGGAGGAGAAGAATTGCTGAATAAAGTCGTTATTGTTGTTTTCTTTGCGCTGCGATGTCACATGGACTGTTTTACCAATGTCCTTGCTATGTTTCAAAGCCTTGATCATGTTAGGATCCTTGCTGTCTATGGGCGGGTCAAAGACCTCTCTGATTTCATAAAAAATATTTTAATTTGTGTTCCGAAGATGAACGAAGGTCTTACGGGTTTGGAATGACACGAGGGCAAGTAATTAATGACAGAATTTTCATTTTTGGGTCTATCCCTTTAACACATTTGGGAATATTTCGAATAAAAAAGGAAATTTAAATAAATAATCCCACTGCTGTGTGTCACATGACAAGCATGATGACCCCCCCCCCTCTCTCAAAAATAATAAGTGCATGACGCCTCTGCAAACATCAGCACGAGCTGGAGACTGTTCCTCACCTGCGTTGGTCGTGGCGTCAGCACCGCCGGGCAGCATGCAGTTGACGTTCGGCAGGACACGCGGCTGAAAGTGAGCGTTTGCGTGTCCCATCACGTGGTTTCCGAGAGGAACTTGTCCGCTTTGGTTCATGGGCCCGCAGTTTCTCAACGCCGTGGCCTGCATCTGGTTGATCCCGGCCGGATACCGCGCCGCAGACTCCACTCCAGGGCCATGCAGCCGCTCCTCGCACAAGCTACGGCCCCGGGGCCCGTGCGAGCTGTGGTTGCTCAGAGACTGCAGCAGCTGAGCCATCGACGTGTTGGAGGGCAGCCGGGTGGTTTTTCTCATCTGCTCGGTCGAGGGGCAGGGCGTCCTCATGAAGAAAGCACTGTCGTGGTTAGCGTTGGTAGGAAGCTTGCGCTTGCGGAGAGGGTCGCGCTGCTGCGCCATCAGCTTGTCCCGAAGCGCGGCGCGTCCGCTCTGGCCCTCGCCGCCGGCCACGATCATGCCGGGGTTGGGTGGCAGCATGGAATTTAGAGCATTGTGGCCTTCGACGGCCCTGCCGGCATCAGACGGCCCCGCGCTCGTCCCGCCGCTCCCCAGCTTGTTTTGATTTGCTAGCTGTGCTTTGGCGGCCGCTGAGAGGAGGCTGCTGGCGGGGAAAGAGGCAGCGTTGTGTTGGTTAAGGATCTGGTTCAGTGGCATTCCCAAGAGGCCCGGGTGCTCCTTCTGGGGGGCGGCACCCGGGGCCGGCAGATACATGGGGTTGTGCTGAGCACTCATTCCGGCCAGCAGCTGGCTGGGCATGTCTTTGTACTGGTGGAGAGTGTCCGGTTTGCCAGACGGGCTGGAGGGCAGAGCGGGCCGGGGCGAGCTCATGGAGGACCTGGGCGAGCGCGGCGGGACCTTCATGCTTCCGCAGGGGGGGACAGTGAAGCTGCCCTGCTCAGAGGAGGTGGAGGAGGAGCGGGAGCGCTGCGGAGACGCCTCCATGCGGCCCAAGGCCGGCCCGGACATGTGCACGGGCGTGGTGACGGGGGACGGGGAGACGGAGGCGGTGTGCTGAGTCCTCTGCATGTGACCCACCGGCCCCGGCTTCACCGAGGGCAGAGGCAGATTACTCGGCAGCGGGACGATGGTGGGGGGGATGTTTACATTCATCATTGGTACCTGAGAGTGGGCGCTGGGCTGGAAAGCGGAAGGGTTGGGTTTACTGGGAATCGGATCCAGGATGCCAAGAGGGTCCTTCTCGAAGCTCAGTTGCTTGCTCTGCAGGGCGCAGGCGGGAGCAGACAGGGCCTTGTGATGAAACACAGTCCTGCTGGAGTCCATGCCCGGCGGGTAGCTGCACAGGGGCTTCTTCATGATGGGGCTCTTCTTGGGGACCGAAGGGGACAGAGGCATGTTTGTCCTTCCAGCCATGATGCAGGACGACTGGGAGGCGGGCGAGCCGTGCATCATGACTCCAGGAGAAGACAGAGGGATGCGGCGGCTGCTGCTGTGCATGGCCCCAGGACTGCCGGTCCCCTGGAAGCCACATGGTGTGTTGCGCACAAACCCGTCAGGGCTGCCGAGAGCGTCCGTTCGCGGGGACAGAGAGTCGTCGCCGAAGGCTTGCGAGGGAGGGCTCAGCATGCCTCCATGGCCGCCGCTGGCCAGCCTCTGCCTAGAGAACGCAGGGAAAACCTCCTGATGCTGCGGGCCGCACGGATCCAGAGAGAAGTGCCGCTGCCCCACCGCCATCATCACCTTGAACGGGTTCTTACATTCGGGTTGGCCCTCGTGGGTTTTACTCCTTATTGCTCGAGGCTGTGCGTTAGGGGTCACGGAGGTCACACCTACAGGAAGAGAGAGAGCCACTGTCAATCATTTCCATTCCTCATTCAGTGATGGCTTTCCTAACGAGGGTATATAGAAAGTGATGCTGTGGCATTTGTGATATTTAACAGTAGGTTAACATTACTTTATCTACATCCTAGGAACCCCTGCCGCAATGCACAGTAAAAGTCATCAAATAATGGAAAAATAAACGGGTCAAGATCAGTAGGGATGGGTATCGAGTTCAATGTTTTTTAGGCACCGACAGAATTGCCTCAATACAATCGAGGATAAAATAGTCTTGTCGTTTGGTACCAAATTTCAATACCAACGGGGTTAATCTTGTCAATGTCAGTGAGCCAATAAGCATGCAGCATGATGTGCCTAAATCAAGTGCATAAAAGCATGTATGCAGAAAGAATGAATGAATGAATGAATGAATGAATGAATGAATTAATATTTAAAAATTGCTTGCGCTTTAAAGATGGAGGAGAAACTCTGGGTTTCCCCGAAGACAATCTGCTCCAGATCAGGTTAGGTTCACACAGTAAGTTACTATGGAAAGTTACCGAGAGGTTTAGTTTTGTCTTTTATTGGAACCGAAAAGTTTATTTTTTCTGGGGTTAACAAACTCTGAGGTTCCAACAAATCCCCCTTTCTGGAATACACACTGGAAATCCTGAAGGAAATTATTATTAGGTTACTTCCAGAGGTCGCAGCAAGATGTTATTAAGTGAATGTCATTTAAAAATGGTATCGCTCAAATAAATATGCATGTGGATAAGGCAAACATAAATTAATAAAATAAAAATAAATAAAAAAGTATAAAACAAATAGATCTACAGGATCCGGTGTAAAAAATGCATGCCATTTTTGTGTATGCATCATGAAAATATGCCCAATGAATGAGCGTACCTGCACTGCAAAAAAAATGCTTTGAATAATTAGTATTTTTGTCATGTTTCCAGCCAAAATACCTAAATATTCTTAAATCAAGATGCATAAGAAAAATGACATAAGATATTTAGTCTTCTTTCTTGGGGATAAAAAAGCAAACAAACAAAAATATATAGGTGATGCGGTGAGAAAAATACTCGTTTACATTTGCATGAAGATTATATTTCTTAAGCCACTGGCAGATCATTTTACAAAAATTTCAGCAATAAAAGCATGTATGCAGAAAGAATGAATGAATGAATGAATGAATTAATTAATTAATATTTAAAAATTGCTTGCGCTTTAAAGATGGAGGAGAAACTCTGGGTTTCCCCGAAGACAATCTGCTCCAGATCAGGTTAGGTTCACACAGTAAGTTACTATGGAAAGTTAACGAGAGGTTTAGTTTTGTCTTTTATTGGAACCGAAAGGTTTATTTTTTCTGGGGTTAACAAACTCTGAGGTTCCAACAAATCCCCCTTTCTGGAATTTTAGGGGTGAGTAAATCTCAATGACAGCGCACTGATTACAGGAAGTTAACCTCGCATCCAAACAGGCCCGTTTCCCTATATACTATGCAGGGCTGCACGATTAATCGAATGCGATTGTCATGTGCATCTCGTCAGTAAAGCGGTTCTGTGATTAGCAGCATTTACTACACAGAGCCGTAGTTCTCTGACAAGCTATGCAAAAACATTTTTTTAAATTAACCGACGATAAAATCGTACGATTATGAAATCGATAAAAATCGTTCGTAATAATGACAGCTGTTTGAGTAGCTTGTCAGTCAACTACGGCTCTGTGTAGTAAATGCTGCTCCATCTGAAAATACCACATTTAATAACATGTTTTAATTCCAAACTCACTTCATAACGTCAGTCGAGTGTTTGAAATAAATCCTTCTGTGAGATGATGTGGCTTCTAAATATACTTTATTATAATGAAAATTATAACAAGAACTCAGATAAGCCATATATTGTCGTAGTCGTGTGTTTATTAGTCACACTGAGTCAATGAAAGCCGTTAAATCTTCTGTTTATTCAGCTAGTGCTATGGGGATGTCCTGGGTTTCTTCTGCGGGGAGTATTTGGAGTTTCTCTGGCCTTCAGATGGAGATTTACTGCTGATCACAGAACCCTGCTTCACTGACAATCACAGCTTCTGTCTAATCGTGATTATATATATATATATATACACACACACACACACACACTATAATAACTATATAATAGTTATTCAGCCAAGAATAACAACTAAGTTAACAAAAAAAAAAAAGGCCCAGAACTGCTTTTCTGACTGATATGAAAATATTAACCATTTGTACATACTCTAACACACATATTTTAGATTCACAATTCATTTAAAAGCCTCTGGTGTGTAAAAACAGTAAATATCATCATGTCCTCCTGCTTTTACCCTAATAAAAGTTATAGGAGCATTACATAGTTAACTCTTTCCCCGCCAGCATTTTTTTTTTTAAGTTGCCAGCCACCGCCAGCGATTTTGATGATTTTCACTAGAATTTGATGGCCTCCAGAATATTTTGCTGTATGGATATTTGAATATGCAATACACCAAAATAAAGATCAGAGCCTCTACTTTTAAACATAAAAATCAGTTTTATTCTAGCTTAAAGCTTTCTTTTTTTTTGTCAACACTTGAATATAGGTAGGTTTCATAAAAATGCATAATTTTGAGCAAAAAGGTGAGAAAATCACATTTTTATCAAACACTGCACCTGGGTAATATTCAGTACGATTATCAAAGCATAAATCCAGTAAATCGCTTCTATCAACACCTCCAAAGCTTGCACAGACATATACCACTTCCTGGATCAACATTTTACTCTGTAACATTATGCAGTTTTCATTTATATGCTGCCATTGCTGATGATCGCATTATTTTTCATATGCATCTGTTTACATAAGAGATTGGTTGTTTCTCCATCCTGCTCACGTGTGTTTTTGTTCGGGAGGTTTTGTATTCATTCAGAAGATGTGTAATAGTGCCCCCTAGTGTATAACAGTGAAAACACGAAAAGCCGTAAAAAAACGTCTTTGACGTGGAAGCTTTGTCTTCTAAAAGACGAGATAACTCGTCAATGGCGGGGAAAGAGTTAATAAAGAAACTTAGCCGCGCTTAACTACTCTAATAACAGCGTTCATTTCAATCCGACATTCAAATTAAAATATTGAATAATATTCATAACAGAAGCGGTGTTTCCCCCAGACTTGCACTCTATTTGTGG